AGAGGAAGATTTTCAAAGATTTAATGCATTTTCACTATATAATCAATAGAGCCCCGCCCTTACACCAGAACCCCTGACCCTGGGGGCCATAAAATTCACAATTTTGGAAGAGGCAGTCTTGTGCAACATAACTATATACTTAGTTAGTTTATTTAATACCCAGGAGCAAAGAAATAATGCACATTCACTATATGATCTATGTATTCCCACCCTAGCACCAGAACCCCTGACCCTGGGGTCATGAATTTCACAATTTTGATAAAGGGCTCAATGCTTATTACAATCATTTCAACAGTTTGACTGCTTGGTGTCCAGGAGTAAAGAAGAAGATTTTTAAAGATTGCATCAATTTTGGTGGTTTAGTCCCACCCCTAGGGCCCCAGGGGGGGGCAGGGATCATGAAATTCACAAATTTTGATCCTCTTCACCCATAGATGCTGCAAGCCAAAATTGGTTTAAATTGGTTGAGCAGTTTTGGAGAAGAAGTTGAAAATGTTCAAAAGTTAACGCACGACGGACGACGCACGACGACGGAAAAACGGATAGCAATAGGTCACCTGAATGACTCAGGTGACCTAAAAAAACAAACAGGCAAAATGGCGACGACGATCATAAAACAAAATGGCGGGCTCGATGATGGTTTTGTTTGTTTGTTTGTTTGTTGTTTAACGTCCATCTCGAGAATTTTTCACTCATATGGAGACGCCCACGCTGATGGTAAATCTACCTATCGAGTATACACACAAACGGCTTTAAAAGAAATTTGATGACTTTAAAAACATTATTACGGGAATTTTTGGTGTTTTTATGAACTAATTTAGTAATTATTTATTTCCTTTTTTGATCACGTGACTCTTACGAAGTCTACGATTGGTCAACAACGAAGCGCGGATTTTGTCAGAGACGATTTGAAAATTGTTGGGATGGAAATGCCGAGAACTAAAAGAAGCTAAAGAAGTCGGTAAGACTATATTTATATCTAAATTTTGATGTTGTTAGTAGTAAATGCATTTTACCACTTTAGAAATATATTCAGTGGAGAATTTCAATATAGATTTTACGTACTTGTGGACATTTGTGTCTTCGATTTCTGGTTTGTTTTGATCAGTATGACAATTTATATAAACTTAAGTTAACATACTGGAAGATGCTTTTTCCCTGGCTCAATGTAACATGAATCATTTAGTTCCTTGACATATTCAATTCATCAAATATTTCAGTATAATTCATGCAATAGGTTTATAATACAGTCAGCACTGGTCGGTGTCTGGGAACATTTACTGTAGCCTAGCTAAGTCTTGGTATGATAAAAAAAAATTACATATCAAGTCCACTGAATTTTGTAAGATTAAAGTTTGTAAAAGTAGTGGATCTTGTTAAAAGGGATGTGATGGTTGGTGGGGGATGTTGTTGAGGGGGTAGTAATAATCATGTGGTTGATTAAACAAGCAAACAGCATTTACATGTATCTGAAAAATTAAAAGTTGAACTGGATAGTTATATTGATTATCTTTCCAGGATGAAGAGAACTTAAAAGGGGGGGGGGTATATTAACATAATTTTGAGACACATGATTATTTTTTTAATTTGCTTACATAACATTAGGAATTTAGACAGGGATATCAAACTCACTTAACAATTTTCCAAAATCATTGTCAGGTTTAATTCAATGTTTGTGTGTGGATATAATACTGGAGAAGTTCTTAAACATTCAAGTTACCTGAGTTTTCTTATATAATTTTCAGCAGTGCATGCATGTGTTTTTTGCCATGAGCATCTCACTAACATGCAGAGTCATAGGAAAATGCTTCAAAAATTTAAGTGTATCTTATCATCAGTAAGTACATATTAATCTAATCTGATTTCTGTAAAATACAATAGAGACATATCAAATTAGTAGGCTTGTCTGTCCTTAACATACTCATGCACTGAAAAGACTTATTTTAAAATTTTATAAGTGATGGGGATGATTGGGGTTTAATTTTTTTGATTTTCACATATGAATTCTGAGTTTTAATTGGTTTTCAAGTTAGTTTGAATATTAAACTGAATATATGATACTATCTGTCAGTCTGCCATGTATTAAGTATAGGAATTACTTCTGCTTTTTGAGAACCTGTTTGATTTAAAACTGAAAAAAGAATGTGTTTTGATTATTTAACTTTTTTTTGCAGAACCCAAGGAAAAGTACTTGAAGGCTGAAATCATTTAGCATATTCAAATGAAGATCAGTGAAAAATGGGTGACATTAACATTAATATGCGGTCAAAGGTTAGTGCACTGAATTGTGTCAGCAAGAAAATTCAAACGGGAGGGAAAGATGGGTGACTAGACTGTGAAGGAGTGGAGGCGATCTGTGAGCATGATCAATCAGTGACATAACCATGCATTATAAGTTACTAGACTAAACATAGGTAAATAAAAATCAGAGATTACAGAGCTCACCTCAACGAATGTTGTCTTTAAGTAAGGGAAAGTCCCACACTAAACTGATAATATTGTAGTGTGCATCCCTAGATGCAACATTTATGCAATTTTGGTCTGATAGGGCTTGCTGTTACTTGGGAATAGACTTATCTGAAAACTTAAAACTAGTCACTCATCCAGAAAATGTTAGTCAAATCCAGCATCCGAAGCAAGTTTGAGATTGTTCGTCCCTTGATGCATCATCCATGCAAGTTTGCTTCAGATAGGCCTTATAGTTACTTGGAAATGAGATCTGCTCCAAAAACTTTAACCTGGTTACTCATCCGGAAAATGTAGGTCAGATCCAGCATCTGAAGCGAGTCCAGTAGTGTGAATCCTTAGATGTATCAACCATGCAAGTTTGGTCAATATAGGGTTTATAGACACTTGGAAATGACATCTGCTCCAAAAACTTTAACCTGGTCACTCATCCGGAAAATATAGGTCAGATTCAGCATCCGAAGCAAGTTCAGTAGTGTGCATCCTTAGATGTATCATCCATGCAAGTTTAGTCAATATAGGGCTTATAGTTACTTGGAAATGAGACCTGCTCCAAAAATTTTAACCTGCTCCAAAAACTTTAATCTGCTCCAAAAACATTAACCTGGTCATTCTTTAGCTGAAATTGCAGCATTTGAAGCCTTGACTGGTACAATAAAACATACTAGAAGCATCCTCCATGCATCTCTGACTAACATAGGCCATAGAAGTACTTGAAAAGAAAACTGCTCCAAAAACCTTAACCTGGGACACCGACACCGAAGCCGAGGGTATTACATAAGCTCCCCCAACTTCGTTGAGGTGAGCTAAAACGGATCAGATCTTGTTATTTACAGAATTATAATCCTGTTGATGATTTAATGTTCCAATATATTCTTTAAATTATTTACGGAAGGTTAGTACTGAAAATAATGAATAATGTAATGAAGATGTGGGGTCTCATGCTTCTGAATTTTGATAAAAGCTAGCATTTACGATTTTTGAATTGTAGGTAATATTTCATAAAGATTTCTCCGATTTCCGTTTTTTTCTGATTTTTTTCTGAAAAGCTGAATTTTTTTCCCTATACTTCATATTTTGTTAAAATTTCATGCTTTCAAAATACAATCTTGTACCTTTAATTTGTTTTATTTTGGTATACCTGAGCTAAATGGTCATTTTTGAGGTTTTTTATTGTTCTTTCAAAATAATACCCGTATTTTTTTCAAAAAGGGGGGGGGGTTCTATTTGCTATATATTTTATAGGGGGGAGGGTATGCTTTTTCTCTACTTTTTTGTACCAACTAAAAAGTATACTTTTTTCATACTTACATTTAATTTTTACATTTTATTGTACTTTTTTATGCACCAATCTAAAGAAGTACTATTTTTATACTTTTTCTCCATACATTTTTGTACTTTTCTCTGGAAGTATACTTTTTTTGTACTTCATACATTTCTGTACCTTTTTCTGGAAGGATACTTTTTTGTACTTCATACATTTTTGTACTTTTTTCTGGAAGAATACTTTTTTGTACTTCATACATTTTTGTACTTTTTTCCAGATGTACTTTTTTTTGTACTTTTGTATGTTAGTTTTAAGAATACACCTTTTCTGTACTTCCAGTTATACTTTTTATGTACTTTTCTCAAAAACAGAAATGTACCAAAAGTATACATTTGTTATCCTTTTTTTGTAACCGAGAACCTAAGTTCTCATAAAGCACAAAAAAGTTTACTTTTTTGACTCAATTTGGAACGACCAAATCCCTTGTTCCAAATTTAGTCGAAAAAAGTATACTTTCTAAAATTTTTTTTTTTGGCACTTTTTTTCGTACTTAATTTGTACTTAATTTTGGTATGGGATGGTAAAACGGACGCATTTCATGACGTCATAATGCATTGACTAGAGAGAAAATTAGTCATGTTCAGTAGAAACATGGTCACCAAGGGTCCAAGTGATGAATATTGCATTGTCAGCCAAAACTGAGCAATTTCGATTTTTCAGAAATTTACAGGGCCAAAAAAGGCGCTAAGTGGCCCTTGCTCTTTGTATGTTTTGATGCCGAGTTTCGATTTTTTTGACTCAATAGTTGATTGTTTTTAAAAGATATGTCATTAATTTTTCTCCCCTTGAAAGAAGGCTTGACCCTTCAATTGCACAAAATTGAACCCCCTTTATCCAAAAATACTTTGTGGAAAGTTTGATTGAAATTTGAAAAGAAGCATTAAATGTGAAAAGTTTAGAGTCAGACAGACAGATGACGGACAATACGTAATTAGAATCTTCTGCTCAGGTAAGCTAAAATAAACACAAAACAGTTAAATATCCAACCAAAATTCCTATCTGATGGGAGAGAGGCTTGGGTTTGACCTTTCTCCATCTTTTTCGATATTTTTTTTTTAATTTTCAAGAGGCTTCCTCTTATATCCAGGCATTTCTGTATGACTCCATTTTACTTTGCAGGCCCGAGTGTCTGATACACCACAATTTTTCTCATCTTCATTAATGTGAGTCCTACAAACAAATTTAACATCACAACATCATGTCTTACCTTTGTATGTCCACACCGAGAAAATGGATCCTTCTTGATTATCTTTCTCTTTATCGACAACATCTTCAAACTTCTTAGTCATGTCCAACACAAGGATGAAAAAGGCCTTTGGTGTTACGTAAATTTGGTGACAGGCATAATACGCTAACTGTCCAGCAAAATCCAGCATGCTAACAGTTGGTAAGTTCTCTTTTTCAGATAAGATTTTCTGAAAAATTTCATTTTTCACCAATTTTTGTGCTTCTGAGGAGAGAACACTTGCCATTACCTCTACTGTATTGACTTCTTCTTTGCCTTCAGTTGGTGAACTAGACAACTCTACATTCCTTTCTTTCTCTTCTTCTCTGCTATAAATTACTTCAGTTTCTTTTTCAGAACTTTTCAGTCTCCAATTGTCTCTATTTTCATTTGAATTGGAGAGGTCACCTGCACTGCTCACATTTGGATTCAGATCTGCGGTATTTATCCTTATAAATGTCTTCAATGGTGAGTCATCATTAGCTACTGTTAACAATTAATTCTATAGTTAGGAGAATGAATTCCTTATAAAAGACATCATGATATAGTAATTATATATCTCTTTTATCAAAACTGACGATTGACTACCAATATACTGATCATATCATGTCTTGTATCTGTATTCCTCTTTACATCATCAAGCATTATTTACAAACAAGAGATGTTTGTGAAACACTTATGCCCCCCAACCCAATAAGAATTTTTCTTAGTCCAAGTGGCATAACTGTCAAAAATTGCTAAATCGTACCAAAAACAGAACTTGACATAGATATTTTTATGATAAATCTGTATACCAAATTTCATTTCAGTATGTGCAACATCTGCAAAAAAAAAAAAATGAATGGAAACTGCAAATAATTGGAATTTTTTTAAGTCCAAGGGGCATAACTCTGTCAAAAATTGCTAGATCGTACCCAAAAACAGGAATGACTCGATATTTTTATGATAAATCTGTATACCAAATTTCATTTCAGAATGTTCATCCTCTGTGAAGAAAATGAACGGAAACTGCAAATAATTGGATTTTTTTTCAGTCCAAGGGGCATAACTCTGTCAAAAATTCCTCGATCGTACCCAAAACAGAACTAGACCTACATATTTTTTATGATAAATCTGTATACCAAATTTATTTCGCAGCTTCTGCGAAGAAAATGAACAGAAACTGTTTCTGGATTGACAAACAGACAGACATACCAACCGACAGACAAGCAGCAAAGCAATATGACCTCTTCTCTTCGAAAGGGGCATAATGAAGCAGGCTAGTAATCTATTTTTGTTAATATTACTCATCATCTTACATGATAAGTACTTATATTCTTCCTAGGAACCAAACAATATCAACCAAAAGATAAACTTCGCTTAGAATTTAATCCTAATACATGCTATAAAAAACTTTGTTATATTGATCTACATCATTTCTGTTGCCATTAAAGATATCTGAGGATTCAAGATATCAGGGAAATATAACTAAAGAATAAGTGGCTGGGACTTTCAGATCACTTCCACATATCCATAGTATTCCAGATATCAGTGTTCGAGATACCGAAGCTCAACTGTATTTTCAATACTGCAGGATATTTCACATTGTCATATTCGTCTTCTTTCATCCCAATTATAATAATTCTTAATAAATAATATTTAATATAGTAGAAGGCATAATCATTCCTGCTCAAAACAATACACAAAAATAGCATGCTGAAAATTGTTATGAATCTGGTAAAATCAGAAAGTTTACCAACAGGTTTTCAGCCCATAAGAAATAGTGTTGTATATGGCAGAAATGTTCAGGGATAACACTGTTGCTTGTAACAGAGGAGTTTCTAGTTGTGTTTATGTTCAGAGTATTTAACTATATAAAATCTTTTGCAGAATTGAGAAGATTTAATATCATGGATAATCTGTTGAACAGCAAAGAAATTTTGTCTATTTGTTTAATGTATATATTTGCATCAGAAATTAATTTTACCTTCTAAAATTCCTTCTTTAACGATGAAGAGGTGTTGATGGACTTCCAGCCCCCTGGTTGACTTTGTAACTTCACTGATATTCTGATGTTGCCCTCTTAATCGCTTCAACAGTGTTGTTTTTCCAGCCTCAGCACACCCAACAAGTATTCCTCTGGCATGGGAAATCTTCGTCTTCTCCTTTCTCAAGAACTTCTTCAACTCATCAATTTTATCTAAACCATCAGTGGAAGGATAAATTAAAAGACAAATCATGTTCTTAGAACAATCCTCAGGGACTCATTGATGACTAGTTTTCTTTCATTTACTGAACATAGAAAAAGAGGCCCATGGGCCACAATACTCACTTGAGCATATTGGCTAGGAAAAAGCAGAAAGCAGTTCAGTATTGAAAAGTTTACAGGTGGGGCGTGGGGGAGGGGTGCAAACTTAAATTGACACAACCTTAGGATGCTTCCATATCAATATTACTAATTTTTTTTTTTGCTTCTGTAAACTCTGATCGTTCCTGCTTTGTGGTTCTTAAAGAGAAAATTTTCAAATGATGCCACCAAATTTTCAAGTTATCTCCCCTTGAAAGAGGGTATTGTGCATGTACTTCCTGTGACCAAACTTAAATTCCCTTCACCAAAGGATGTTTTGTGGCAAGTTTCCTTTAAATTTACCTAATGGTTCTTGAGAAGAAGTCTAAAATGTGAAAAGTTTATAGACGACAGACTGATGTCGGACACTCTTTGATCAGAAAAGCTCAAATGAGCCTTAGGTACAGGTGAGCTAATAAAAAAAAGACGCCCAAAGGCCTTAACGGTCAGCTGAGTATAAAACAACACTGTAAAGATCTATAGACTGAAGTATAAAATAAAATGAAATTAACTAAAACATGAACCTATGTTGCTAGGTGAATAGCAAAGGAGATCAACTTACAAATTAAAGCAAAAACTGTGTAATGCTTGAATGTCACAGGACTTTGATTCTCGATCAGCGGACTGGAATGAAATATAACGGTATCTTTTTCTATAACAAATTTAAACATTTTAAGACTATCTCTTATGGAAAAGTTAGAATTTATCTCATTTAATGTAAGGGGGTTAAATACTCCTGAAAAAAGACGAAAAATTTATTCATGGTTGAAAGAATGTAACATAGATATTATTTTGTTGTAAGAAACGCATTTTGTAGAAAAAAAATGAATCTATGTATAACTTAAACTGGAAAGGAAAAACATTTCACGCATATAGCGACTCATCATTTAGTAGAGGCGTGTCTGTTCTATTAAATGAAAAATTAGATGTAAACATCATAAATGTCAAAAAGTCTATTGATGGTAGGAAAATTTTGATAAATCTTGAAGCTAACGGCAATATTTTTACAATAATAAATATATATGCTCCTATTGAAATTAAGAAGAGGTGTGAATTTTAAAAAAAAACTTAAATATTTTATTTCAAAAAGTTTTGTCAACGAAAATATTATACTATGTGGAGACTTTAATTGCCATTTAAGCAATAATGCTGACAAAAGTGTAAACTATTTGAAAGATTTGATAAGACATTATGATATGGATGATATATGGGAAAACAAAATCCAGGTATGTCAGGTTTCACTTGGTGTGATGCAAAAAATGACCCTAAAAGTAGAATAGATTATGTTTTTATAAACGATTCTTTTTATTATAGCATAGCAGATATTAAGGTTAGAAAAATTCCAGGTTCCCATTCAAACGGAAGTCGAATGAGTGACCATAGATACTTAAAATTTAGTTTTGATATTAATAAAACGAAAAAAGATCCCGGATATTGGAAACTTAATGTTTCCTATCTCGATAATGAAAAATACAAAAAAGGAATTTTAGATATTATTCATAGTATAGATTCCTCTTTAAGCCCTATAATGACATGGGAGTTGATTAAACGAAAGGTTAAAGATTTCTCTATTTATTTTGCAAAAAATGAACAAAAATTAATTAAACTAAAGATAAGATCAATAGAACGCGAAATAGAAGATACAGAAGAAGGAAATGTTGATAATTTTGATTACAAAAGATTGAAAACTTTTGAAGCGGAACTGGATGCTATATACGACAAAAAATATAAAGGTGCACAGATAAGATCTAAAATTGAATGGATCGAGGAGGGGGAGAAAAACTCAAAATATTTTTTAAATTTAGAAAAGTGCAACCAATCTTCAAACATAATTAAAAAATAAAAACAAGAGAAGGGAATAAAATCAGTAAAACTAATGCCATTTTAGGTGAAATGTACTCTTTCTATAGTGATCTTTACACGAGTAAAGACATTTCAAAGAAAAAATTGAAAAATATTTATCAGAGATAGAAGATATCCCTAAATTAAGTGAAGAAGATAAAATATTACTAGAAGAATTTCCAACATATGAGGAGTGTAAGGAAGCTGTTGATAACAATAAAAAAAAGAAAAATCACCTGGACTAGATGGCCTCCCTTGTGAATTTTATCAATGTTTTTGGGGAAAAATTGGGCCCTTCTTTTATAAAGCCCTTAAAGATATATTTGATAAAGGTGAATTGTCTTACTCACAAAAACTCTCTGTTATATCACTGATTTATAAAAAAAAGTGACAAAATAATTTTAAAAATTATAGAACGATTAGTTCAACGAATACAGATTACAAAATTATTGCCTTTGTCTTTGCAAAAAGATTACAAAATAATCTCTAAGTTAATTAACGAAAACCAAACTGCATACATAAAAGGAAGATATATCGGCGAAAATGCTAGATTAGTACTTGACGTCTTTGAATACTGTGAAAAAGAAAATTCAGATGGTATATTTTGAAAAAGCTTTTGACTCAGTTGAATGGAATTTTCTTTTTCAAGTCTTACAAAAATTTAATATTTGCAGTAGTTTTATAAAGTGGGCAAAAATTTTATATGCAAGCCCAATGTTTAAAATGAAAAACAATGGCTGGCTTTCTAAAACCTGCGAAATGACAAGAGGCTTTAGGCAAGGATGTCCTATTTCCGCTCTCTTGTACCTCTTTGTCGCAGAAATTTTGGCTATTAAGATAAAATGTGATAAGGACATCAAAGGCATAACAATCAATAATTGCGAAATTAAAAACATCCAACATGCGGACGACTTAACTGTAGCTTTAAGAGACGAAATGTCAATGAAGCGCACTCTAGATAAATTACAAGAATTTTGTGAACATGCGGGATCAAAAGTAAACATACATAAAACAGAATGCATTTTGTTAGGGGAACTAAAAAAGATGTATAATGAACTCCACGGCATAAAAATCACGAATAAAGTAGTAAGATGCTTAGGATTCTTCATTGGACACGACAAGGAAGAATGTTACACTAAAAACTGGATGAAAATTTATCACGATATTGAAAAACTTTTTGAATCCTGGAAAAGAAGAAAACTTACGTTATTTGGTATATCATGTATAGTAAAGACACTTGCGATATCTAAACTTACATATGTTGCTTCAATACTTAGTCTTCCTGATATTGCTTACATGAAAAAAAATACAACGTCTAATTTATAACTTTATTTGGGATAAAAATGAACGAATTAAACGAAACACGCTAATAGGCAGAATTTCTCAATTGTTGATATTGAATGTAAATTAAAAGCTTTAAAAGCGGCTTGGGTACCTAGGTTGTTAAGAAAAAACGGTATTTTGTACAACATTTTTGATGGCTATTGTAAAAAATTAAATTTTGATGCTCCTTATGCGTTAAGTTTCTCCGATAGAAAGAAAGAAAATATAGAGAAACTACCTATTTTCTATCAACAAATGTTATGTTGCTTCAATGATTGTAAGCCTTGTTCTTTGAACAAAATGTATTCGGATAATATTCTTCAACAGCCGATATGGAACAATTGTAACTTTGTTTATAGAGGAAATACATTATTTTTTAAAAATTGGATAGTCAGTGGGATTTTACATGTTAAAGATTTATTTGACGATGATGGTAATTTCAAAGCATTGTTAGATTTTTCGAAGTGTATAAAAAAAAGTCAAACTGGTTGTGTGAATTTAAAATTCTTACTTCTGTTTTCAAACCTTTACTACGAAAGTATGATTTTTTAAATTGTAAGTTTGTGAACATACGCTACAGAAATTATTTTCTCTTCTACACAGGATCTGTTAATGTCTTAGATCAATGATGCAGCTTTTTCTATGAAAATTTTGTACACAAAAAATTTTGTAAACCGTGTTATCAAACAGTTTTAAACAAAAGAGTTCAGTGTTGAACCTGTAGAATGGAAAAAATATATATCAATGTAAATTTTACGACATACCTGATAGACAACTTACAGAATTCAACTATAAACTTTTAAACAATATTCTCTGTAGTAATTTCTATCTCAGTAAATGGAAAAAAGAAACGAACAGCCATTGCAAATTATGCCATGTGAACGAAACTTCAAAACATCTCATTTTTGAATGTAAAAATGTTCTTGAAATATGGAACAGGTTAAGTTCTTACCTGAAAATAGATATCAAATGGAAACATGTAATGATTGGATTTAGTTCTGAGCGTAATAGAAAAATTGTATCACTCAATACACTCATCTCTTATGTTGCCTATAGAATTTACAAATATAAGATGTACTGTCGACTACATTCCTTGGATGAAACTAGTTCCAACATTTTTAATCATGTTAAATCTTCAATAATTTTCTATGCTTCCATTCTGAAAAAATTGAACTCTCTTGTAGACTACAGGCTTTTTAAAGATTTTGCCTAAAATATTTTTGAATACATGTTTCAATTGCTTTACATTGTATTAAGTCAATATTGCCATATTACCTTAAGTTCGTAATGTAACTTGTTCTAAGTATGTTATATATATATATATATATATATATATATATATATATATATATATATATATATATATATATATATATATATATATATATATATATATATATATATATTTCTAAGTTTGTTTTTATTAAGAAATAGAAATAAAATATGATTTAAAAAAAAAAAAAAAAAAAAAAAAAAAAAAACAACTTACAAATTAACACAGCCCAAGCACCAGAACATTTGACCAAGCGGTTCAGAAATTCATGAAATCTGGTAAAAATAGCCTTGCTTTACAACTTTGTACTCTATTTGCCGAAAAATACCCTAGAGCAGAGTAGAAAAATTTCAAGAAAATGACACATTTTCACGACTAATAGATTCAACATATCCCCATACTAGCAATAGGTTCC